CAATTTTGTCAGGATCCTTTTTCTTGCCATGTCTTCTCTCCTCCAACGGTGTCGCTAAAAAAGCAATCTTCCGTCTTCTGGCCGCATTTGCTGTATGTTCAGAGGTACTGCACCATCGTCATCTGTCACTTATCACCTCGTTTCCATGTCACTCACTCGCATTGACAACCTGAGCCAAGCTTGCAAACTCGGACTGTCTCATCGCTTGTCATCACGTTGACCCCCTTGTCCTCCCCTCCATCTCGTCGTCGACGTTCCACCGCCAACCTGCTGTCGTCTGTTTAGCCCCCCCGCTGTGTAAGGCGAAGCAAACATATCCATCGTCCTCACTCGTCTCGGATACGGCTTCTCGGACACCTTTGCCTCTTTTCCCCCTTCCCTTTCTTTGCCTGGACCCTCTCGTTGCTTTTTCTTCCCCGTCAGCCATCATCGTCCCCTGTCATACCCTGTCATATACACGCACATACGTACATACGGACATACAAGACGAACTCTTTTAACACCAGAACCACCGACAGCTCGGAATCTTTGCCACCAGCTAGTCAGTGTTTTCATTAAATTGGTCCTTTATCTCCGAGAGCTGCACTATTAGTCTCTCTTGGTTGCTTGGTTATCTCAAACTTTCTAGGTGTTGATCATCTCGAAGCAGAGCATCACCATATACTAGACTTTCATTCACTCTTCCGAAAGACTAAACTGTTCATCACTGGATCTGTCACATTAAGTGACCAGCTACGGCCCTCGCTCTCTTTCATCTCCGTATGCAACCTCGCGTCTTCGTACGCCCTATCCCGCAGTTCTCGTTTACTCTGTCCTCCCAGGAGGCCGTTGGACAGTCAGCTGTTGGACAATAATCCTCCCCCATCTTCTTTCCACTCCTGTCAATATCCCCCGCTAGGAATTTTGACATAACGTCGTGATCTGATCGTCGGGCTTGGGATTCATCAAGAAACACGGTCAATCATGGTCTACTGTGGCAAGCCCTCTAGGGGTTGCCAGATGTGCAGAGCCCGAAGAATCAAGGTGCGTTGCTATTTTACTGCTGCACGACTTTTCTTGTGCAGAGTTTTCCTGGGGCCCTCTAGACATATCAGCTCACAGTCATAGTGCGATGAAACGAAACCAACCTGTAATCAATGCGCCAAATCCAGGCGACAATGCCCTGGCTACAAAGATGAATTCGATCTCGTCTTCCGCAATGAGACGCAGGCAACTGAACGAAGAGCTCGCAAGGCCAGCAAGAAAGCCATGGCGCTGAAGCAGGGTAAACCTTCAAAGGCCGTAGCTATTCACAAACCAACCCCCGATCAGTCTATTATATCGACTCTCCAACTTCCGGTGGACCAGCAGGCAACATGCCACTTTCTATCGAACTTCGTTCTGCTACCTTCTCATGATAACACGCGTGGATGGATGGAATTCGTTGTGCCTCTCCTTAAAAGCGAGAAGCAAGCGTCCCATTTCAAGCTAGCGTTTGATGCATGTGCCATGGCATCTCTGGGGAACCGTGTCGGTTCAGGTTGCAATTTTGAGAACAAGGCTTTAGGATGTTATACGAAAGCACTTTCCGCCACATTCAGCGCCCTAAAGGATCCCGTTCTATCCAAGGAGGACTCAACGTTAGCAGCTGTGCTGCTTTTGGGACTTTTTGAGAACATTACCGCGAAGCAATTGGGAATGCTCGCTTGGGGCTCTCATATTGAAGGAGCTATTCAACTAGTTAAGTCGAGGGATAGGAAGCAGATGCGAACGAAAACAGGCCTGGCTCTTTTTGTAGCCACAAGAACGCAAATGGTATGCTCTTTATTCATTCCTCTGCTGACCACCATCTAACGAGCGACTAGATCATTCACACCTTGACCACAGGCACACCCCCGGCCATGGGAGTTGAATGGTGGATCACGGACAGCTACAAGAATCAGTACGGAGCTGAGTGTCAGCGACTTAACATCCGTACAGCAGAGCTCAGGGCTGAGTCCAACCGCTTGATGGCGTCCCTGGCCCGTAGCCCCGAGAACATTGAGCTGCTTCTGGATATTATTCGCCGATGTCAGACTCTCGATCAGCAACATGTGGCCTGGGCAAACCAGTTGCCCGAATACTTCCATTACAAAGCTGTGGCTTGGGAAGACAATGTTCCCAGTGGGAACTACGGCGTGGCTGAGGTTTTCCCAGGACGAATAGACGCATATCAGGATCTCTGGGTTGTCAGCGTATGGAACTTGATGCGTTGCTCTCGTATCATCCTCGCGTCACTGATTGTTCGCTGTGCTGCATGGGTTTGCGCCCCGGTTGACTACCGAACAACCCCCGAATACGCAACAGCCGCGAGAACGTGTGTTGATACCATTACGGATATCATTTCCTCAGTGCCCTACCAGTTGGGCTGGTTTTCCAGTCGCAGGGAGCTTCTTGAGCGTGCTAACCTCTCCGCGTTTGGCTGTGGAGAGGAAGATGCCCTAAAAGGTCTGCCAGGATACTTCTTGACTTGGCCCCTGACTTGTGTCCAGGGTCAGGATTATACAACTGATGCACAAAGAGCATGGGTCAAAGGTCGACTTGAGTTTATTGGCAATCATCTTGGTGTTAGGTACGCCAATGTGCTTAAACAAGTGAGTGCCCTCTCTGAATCCCTGGAGATATTTGCCTCCGCTTTGATATTTCCTTTCTTTTTCTTATTTGTTCGTCTTCTTTTCCTTTTTCAGCATTTATTTATCCCCACACTGGTTGCTTTTTCTGGTATCAACTTCAGGGCCAACTGACACTTCTCCACAGCTCAATGTTCGTGTTCCCTCAATGCTCATCCGCAGGGATGGCTTGATGGCTAGCCCATACCCTGCCTCCTACAACTTTGAAAAGCTCTTATCGTCCAAGACGGCACCAGCTATGGCAGGATATTCCCTGAACCCAATACAACAGCATGAAGCTATGCAAAAGGAGAGAGCTGAGAAACAGAAAACGGAGCTACTGAGTAAAGCCAGGGGGTCCTTACCAAATAACGAGAGGGTAGCCGACGGCCTGTTGCAATTTCAGAGTTGATTATGGGATACCGGAGATAGGATTTTGAAGGATTTTGAAGGATTTTGAAGGATTTTGAAAACATCTCATCTCCAAATATGCTATATAGACGTTAAAAAGGTTCTGGATAACCTATAAAATAGAGGATGGCTGGTCCTGAATAACCATGGTCGCCTTTTAGTCTATAAGCATGCCATGATTGGATTGGATACCAGGCGTTCAAAGATTACCGTGAATTTGTTTGATCCAAGCTCGATTGTGCGATTGCAGATCCGATACTCGAAACGAAAGCGTAGGGGTTTTACTGGTGCCATTTTGGAGGTGTTAGACGAGTGGATATCCATGGATAATTTCATGGGGTGTCATGGTTTGGAAGTTTACAATCGCACGAACGTTTTAAGTGCAATATCTTGTATTATAGAGCAATCTTGCAACCGGACATCTGGCGTAATATGAATAAAGTTTAAAGAAACTGCCCTGATGAAAGAGATTCGTTGAACAGTCCTATGGATGTCTGCGTGCGTGTCGTGCTACCCATGCCCCCTAGCATATTCGAATCAAGATAGAAAATTCGTGACGGAGTAGCGATCGAGTTTATTTTTGTTTCTTACTGTAGACATTGTCAGGACCTATTCCACTTCCACGAGAAATGATACCATGATGTACGCACCTCTGACTAGCATCTGATGTCGTGCCTAGATTCCACGCCTTGACGAACCAGCTCTGCGTCGCATCGACGTAGTTTTCGTTCTTGATTTGTTTGACACCGACCTTTACACCATCCTTTGTGAAAACGACGTTCTTCTTGCCCATGCGCTCAGACGCAGCGTCGGACATCTTGGCGACGCTGATGTAGACTTGGTAGCCGATCCAGCCGCCTACGCTGAGCAGAGCGAAGACGATGATGAGAGGAAGGACCTGGCTGTAAGGGTCAATTAGATACTGTCTTTGGAGTGAGCACTGGCGTTGCAGCTGTACCTGAGAGCTGAAGATTGTCTGGCCATGTTTGATTGCGACACGTGTGATGCGAAAACGGCGATTGGCGATTGGCGATTGGCGATTGGCAATAGTGAGGAAAGGTGCGCTGAACTGGAGAAGAGAAGAGAAGAATGCGATCAACGCAGTTGCAGAAGTAAAGAAGAATAGAGTATGAAGAGGGAGGGAAGAGATACTTTAGACTAGAGCGACAGAGAGAGGCAGCCGAAAGGGGGTTGCGCAAAGAATTGAGGGGACCAAGAGCTGAAGGATCTGGGGGATAGAGTACTACTTTAGGGATGCATGTGAGTGAGCAGTAGAAGTAATGGAAAGCCAAGTACCTGGACTAGCTCGCCCTCGAACTAAGGTACTCGTGAAAACCCGCCCGTTAATGGAACTTAGGTTCGGGGATCGCCAATTGGATTGTTCGGCACCTCCAGCTGTCGAAAAACAGGGTCCAGGTCTTGTCTGAGGGGCTGCCCTCCTGTAACTTTGGCTGATGTCAGTGGACCTTGGAGGGGGACGATGTATCGAAACACTTGATGCCTTGTCGTATGGAACGAGCGACAATTGGAACCTTGGGTAGAGAGGTAGTCTGTGAGACGGAAACAAGTGCTTCTCCATTCCAAGCTGCTTTGATTCCGTGCAACATCGTGCTCTTGAACACGTCCCTATACCTGAGAATGCCAAGAAACTATCCCGGGCCGCTGCCGTCCATGCGATCCACGCAGTGGCAGTGCAAAAGACGAGACGAAGTGCGTGCAAAAATAAACCACATAAAATAGGTACGGAATGGGCAATGCCTTGTCCTACAAACACTCACTGATCGCCTAGACTCACCTGTCATACCTTAATTGTCAACAGCTTGAGGGATTCAAGCTTTTGTGGCGGCTGACTTATTTCCCCCCGTGGTGAATCGAGAACAGTCTATGTTGGTGTGGTGATGCAGGGGTTTCTTTGTGTGAGGCTTGAAGAAGCAATCATGGTGTTTTCGTCTGACACTCAGAATGACCACGTATGAGAAGCGTGTGCTATTCTATCTTTACAGAGCAATCATACTATCAGATGGAATCCAGATGATAATAGGAGTGGTTGAAAGCCTGTGTGTTAGTATACATGCAGTTAAGACCAAGATTTTACAGGGCAACATCCCAGGTCTATGGGAAGCATAAGAGCTTAACACATTGACCACAAAGCTTCTGGTTGATTCAATGCGAAAGGAACATGCCACCTCATGCTGCACTAGGTACAGAGGTACAAGGCCTCATGCTTGACCTACCTTAGGTACCTTACCTACCTAGGTACTTACCTAGGTAAGGTAGGGAGGGAGCCGTTGCTTCCTCTCGTCATTTGGTTACTCGCCAGAGTACAAGCACATGAACATCACTCTGAGTTTCCTTGACCCACCAAACAATTGTATGATTTGATAGTCCCAAGGAATCCCGTAGACAACGCAAGAGAGACACCGACCTAAGAGCAGGTAACACCAAACTACAACGTTGACCATCCGTGCAACATTTTGAAGAGCGATTGTTTTTACGGCTCCGTATGACATACATATACCCGTGCCTAGCTTTTCGATGATAAAGAGAGGAGGGTACAGATATGTCTGTCTACCTATAGGCTTGTCAGAAATGTAGAGATCGGCGACATTCTTTGTGCTGTGGCCAACTCTTATCAATCAGCTGCCTTGGCTCGAGGCATGCGCGATACGAGGAAGGACTGTCAACTATTTTCCAACTCATACGGCTTAATATCGTGTAAGTAACGTGATTACTGTAGTTTTTATCTCCTTTTACTATCCATCACCAGCTTTACTTAAGTCTTATGATTCTATGCTGCTTACTTCAGCAAAATTGACTACTTACACTACAGTGAGGAGTTCAAATCTATCAACACATGGCCAAATTTACCACATGATAGCATGTCGACCGAGATGAGTGTCTGAAACACCTTTCAGCTTAGATGTCTCCCTCATCTAGGTACTTATAAGACCCTCTTGGTGAATACATCTTATCGTTGCCCAGATTTGCATGAGATATTTCGTGTAGGCCAGCCCTAGGCTTTAACTTCAGTGACTTATGAAGTCATGGAACTTCCTGGCTTAGAATAAATCACCAAGGCCTTAGGAGTAAGCTGCATACTGCTCTTTGGACGGCTTGCGCTCTTGTGTATTCATTTGGCCTGAGACAGAGTTCCTCGGGTAACAGATTTTGGCAATGGAGATATGAAATTAACATGACTTTCGAAAAACCAATCAAGGTTGAGCTTGATTGGGTTATTATACAAGCCTAAAGCATATCGCTCTTAAGTCAATGCAGGCAACTCGACATCTACCACCATTTTCAGGACTTACGCTGGATAGGGCGACAAGTTGGAGGCTACCTACCTGTCATTATCCATATCAAGAACAAGATAGACAACTCCAATCAGTATGATAGGAGAGGCGCATCTAGCTAGGCACAGTAACATAATTTTCAAGGAATACCTAAATACTATGGAATGGTAAGGTAAGGATGTATTCTCGGATGCCACAGTTCTTGATTTATACTGGGACAATGGATGTGGCTGTGCACTCCTAGACGGGACGGGAGCTTCCAATGAAGCTTTGACGCCACCGAGCTCCAAGCTTGCAATATCGATGAGTATGAACACATCTGCAAAATCTGATGGGTTGCTCTTCTGAATTGACTCATATCAACACGTGAAGGATATCTAGTGATATCGTTGTCCTCTTCTCCCCGTCTCTGGCATCTGATAGCGTGGCTCAGGCAACCATGAGATTAGGTAGTAGGTAGCCCCTCCTTTGACACTACAGGATTCTTGGCTTTGTCGCTGTGGCGGTGACCAATGCGAAGAGGCCAGACATGCAGACATGCAGACACAGGCTACGCTACCTAACAGCTCTGAGCTCATCAACCACCAAACACCCACCTCCATTTACCTTCCTCCATCTCAGTTCAACATATACATTTCGTCGACTGGGAGCGTCGGATCGGGAGTCGCCTTTTACCATCCCGTTTTCTGTTGATTGCTAAAACGCCTGCTCCTCTGCAGCGCCTTTTGATCCGTTTCTCGACCCATTGACCGACACCGTTTACACATCCGTATATACCTTACCTCAACCTCGGGTGCGATACTGCTCCCTTCACACTTCAACCATGTCGATGCCCCCTCCTGGTGATGGCTTCGGCGGCTATCCAGCCCAGCAATACGATCAATATGCTGGCCAAGAACAGCCACCTCAACAAGCTTACGAGGACCCTGCCGCCGCCCAACAGCAACAGCCCCACGATCAAGGCCACAAGAAGAAGAAGCGAGGGTATGCGGCCCAGGCTTTCGAGGTCGGTACCGGTGCCAACGCCGTCGCCGGTGCTCAGACCGGCGGAGCTCCTCAGCAATTCGGTGCCCCTCCCGCTCAGCCAGGTTATGGAGGTTTTCAGGCCGAACCTCAAGCGGCTGCCCCTCAAGGATACCAATATCCCCAGGGATACAGCGCACAGCAACCCGCTGCTCCCCAGGCTCCTCAATATGGCTACCAAGCTCCCGATCAAGGATACCCAGCACCTGGCGCTCAGCAGCCTGCGCCAGGAGTTGGCGGCATTACTCAAGGCGTCGGCAACATGAACATTGGAGGCCAGGCTCAACAACCCCAGGCTGCTCAGCCTCCTCGCCCTGCTGTTCTGAACCAGCTCTATCCAACTGATCTCCTTAACCAGCCCTTCAATGTCTCGGAGCTTGACCTTCCCCCACCCCCGATTGTTCTTCCTCCCAACGTGAGTTACTGATTTTCAGGCCTGGTGATATTGCCAATCACTAACTTTCGCCTATTAGACGAGTGTTACTCCGTCCCCCGACGCCAACTGCTCCCCGCGATATTTCCGATCGACTCTCAACGCTGTTCCCACCACCCACTCGCTCCTGAAGAAGTCCAAGCTGCCCCTTGCACTCGTCATCCAGCCCTACGGTTCTCTCCACGACGATGAGGATCCCGTGCCTGTTGTGCAGGATCAAGTCATCTCGCGTTGCCGACGCTGTAGAACATATATCAACCCCTATGTCACTTTCCTGGACCAGGGACACCGATGGAGGTGTAATATGTGTAATCTGACCAATGACGTTCCTCAGGCTTTCGATTGGGATGCCGCTGCCCAGCAGAGTGTTGACCGATGGCAGCGACCCGAGCTGAACCATGCTGTTGTTGAGTTTGTCGCTCCCCAGGAGTACATGGTTCGCCCACCTCAACCCCTCATCTACCTGTTCTGTTTCGATGTCAGCTACGCTGCTGTCTCAACCGGACTCGTGGCCACCGCGGCCCGCACCATTTTGGACAGCCTTGACCGGATACCAAATGCTGATCGCCGCACGCGCCTTGGCTTCTTGGCCGTGGACTCTAGCCTCCACTACTTCTCAATCCCCAAAGATACTGATGAGAATGGCGAGACCAATATGCTGGTTGTCAGCGATCTCGACGAGCCTTTCCTCCCTATCCCCAACGAGCTCCTGGTTCCTCTTAGTGAGAGCCGACAAAGCGTGGAGAAGTTCCTGCAGAAGCTTCCCGACATGTTCCAGAACAACCAGAGCAATGGTTCATGCATGGGATCGGCCCTGCGTGCAGCTCACAAGCTTATCTCCACCCTCGGAGGCAAGATTGTTGTTTTGACTGCTTCCCTGCCCAACCTTGGTGTCGGCAAGCTCGAGATGCGTGAGGACAAGAAGCTTCTTGGCACATCAAAGGAGGGGGCTCTGCTCCAAACAGCGAACAGTTTCTACAAGAGCTTTGCTGTCGAATGCTCAAAGAGCCAGGTCTCTATCGATATGTTCCTCTTCTCGTCACAGTATCAAGATGTGGCTTCGCTCAGCAACCTCCCTCGCTACACTGGTGGCCAGACCTGGTTTTACCCAGGCTGGCATGCCTCGCGACCTGAGGATGCCCTCAAGTTTGCTTCCGAGTTCAGCGACTATCTTTCGTCTGAAATTGGTCTGGAGGCTGTCCTCCGAGTCCGAGCCACAAGTGGTCTAAGAATGAACACATTCTACGGCAACTTCTTCAACCGAAGCTCTGATCTATGCGCTTTCCCCGCCTTCCCCCGCGACCAATGTTACGTTGTCGAGGTGGCTATTGATGAGAATCTTACCAAGAACGTCATCTGCCTCCAAGCGGCAGTGTTGCACACAACCTGCAATGGTGAGCGTCGCATCCGAGTAATGACTCTGGCCCTTCCTACAACGACCAATCTATCCGATATGTACGCCTCAGCAGACCAGTGTGCCATTACCACCTACTTCAGCCACAAGGCCGTGGAGCGGGCCCTTTCAAGCGGCCTAGATGCGGCCCGCGACGCTCTGCAGAGTAAGGTTACTGAGCTCTTGCAGACGTTCAAGAAGGAGTTGGCTGGAGGCAGCATGGGTGGCGGTCTGCAATTCCCTGCCAACCTCCGCGGCCTTCCCCTCCTGTTCCTGGGGCTGATCAAGAACGTTGGTCTCCGCAAGTCATCTCAAATCCCCTCCGACATCAGATCAGCGGCGCTCTGCCTTCTGTCAACACTTCCTGTGCCTCTCTTGATGCGCTACATCTACCCACGACTCTACTCACTACATGATATGCCCGACAACGCGGGAGTTCCCGACCAGGAGACGGGCCACATTGCGCTCCCTCCTGCGCTCAACCTCTCATCAGAGAGGCTTGTGCCCTACGGCCTGTACCTCATCGATGATGGACAAACTCAGTTCTTGTGGGTCGGCCGTGATGCCGTACCGCAATTGGTGCAAGACGTGTTTGGAGTGGAAGACAGAGGCCAGATCCAGGTCGGCAAGGGTCGTGTACCCGAGCTTGAGGGAGACTTCAACGAACGGGTGCGAGCTATTGTTCAGAAGAGCCGGGACCACAAGTCACTAGGGGTTGGCAGCATTACATTGCCCCACCTGTATATCGTGCGAGAAGACGGAGAACCTAGTCTGAAGCTCTGGGCGCAAACGCTACTCGTGGAGGATCGAGCCGACCAGGGTGTAAGCGCAGCTCAGTGGCTAGGCATGTTAAGAGAAAAGGTGAGTTGATGGATGATGATATTGGTTGAGATGGCATGACAAACTAACTTTTGCATCAAGGTTGTTCAGTAGAGTAGCTCACGAAAAGTCGAGCGTTTGTAGACGGAGGAGTGGGTCGGATCTGTCCTTGTAATATTGGGATCGGGATGAGGCGGGTTCAATGACTGGAGTCGAGGTCCTGGAGAAGCAGTCGGGCTGGTTTTGGTAACAGGGATGCGAGGAGGACGAACGGTGTCAACTAGAGTGAGTGAATGAATGAATTGTTTTGTGAGCAATGGTGAAGATTACCATGAACGTGACGGGGTGATGTTGAGATCATGATCATGATGATGTACAGAGCAGAGGGGCTCATGATGATAGCATTAAACAGCACAACCAGGGCCAAGACATGATGCAGCCGACCAAAAACGATAGACTGACATGCATAGTAATGCATGGTATTTTTAGAAGTGCATTCCTTCAGAAACCAAACGGAAAGGAGACCCGATTCCATGGATGAATCCATGACCGAGGGGTTGGTTTGGCCCCCATGGAATGAAATCTGATACAGGCACCAGACGCAGCCGCAGACGCGATGTTCCCTGAGTTGGTACAGTACCTACAGTACGTGAGATACAAGGACCTCGCTACCCAATGATGAAACGCCGCCGAGTCGGTGGGTGTGAAACGCACGCGCCTAACGAGCCAAGTAGCCAATGATAGCTGGAATTAGGCGCTGGGGGAGGTTATTTTAAGAACACCGAGACACGGTGCTTCGCTTTACACATTCCTACCTACCTATCCAGGGGAATCAGCTCAGCTCATCTGAGCTCAGTTCAGTTCAGTTCAGGTCATGCCGTTGAGGAAGAATGAGAATCGGTAAAATGTGAAGCCGCATGGCATTAGGGTGGTGAAACGCATAGATACGTGAGGTATGTTGAGCCTGAGGGATCTTTGTCGAACAGGGGGTTGATGCGTGCCACTGAAGAAGATGAGAGGGCAGAGTAAGGTAGCATCCTCTAAGTTTCGGGGCTG